AACCAATAAAGAATAAACAATTTCATTTATATGAAGTTTGAGACCACTTAAAAATGATCCATGGTGATAGAAGTTAGGAGGAAGCTGACTATGATTGGGAGTAGCTGTATTGACAGGCATGGATAGGGAACTTTGGTAGAGATTAAATTATCTTATTCATTTGTCTTGCTGGTTATTCCACACGCATATACATTTAAAATTTTCATCAAAGCATACATTTCTTTTTGTGTATTTATCATATGCAAATTATCACTCAATTTGGAGAGAAAAATTAGACAAAGGTCAGCACACAGATCTGAAGAAATCTAGAATTCAACATGGACCAAATGAATAAAATATATAAATACTTGATTAAGAGGTGTGGCTAGAATGGAAAAGACTAAAGAAAATCAATTTGAGTTCTTGAATAGAAAAGGTGAAAGAAAAGCAATATTGAAAGAGGTAAAGGAAAAACCTTTTAAGAATTGATGAAAGACAAACCTTAAGAGACAAGAAACATTAAATGCAGGATAAATTAGAGGTCCACACCCAGATAAACTCTGTTGTATAACTGTAGAAGACAAGAAAATAGTAAAGACCTTAAAAGCAAGCAAAACAAAAAAGACAGATTAGCAACAATCAACTGTAATCTTAACCAAGTATAATACTGAAAGTATTAGTCAATGGAATAACTCTAAAGAGCTAAGAAAATGTCAATATGGAATTATATACAGAGCAAAACTGTCAAGAATAAGAGCAAAATAAGTTCATTTTCAGACAGTCTGCCATCAATAGTCCTTTATTAAATAAGTTTCTAAATGTGCATTTCAGGAAGCGGAGAAGGAAGATAGACAAGTCAAGGATCTACATGAAAAAAAAAATTAGTGTTAAATTTACTGGGGTGAGGGGATATCAAGATAGAATTAAAACTCTGGCTGATAAGTAAATAACTTTCAGAGTAAGTCAGAAAGTTAACTGGTATCAAAGTAACCTTCAAATATTGAGAAAATGTAAAATTCAATAAACTTTAGCTTAATTTTATATGTTAATTTTTAAATAAAGTACTAAAAGTAACTAATAAATTAAATTTTCACATTAGTCAGAAGGGGAAAAAATGGAATAATAAAAACACTACCACCCCAAACATCAAAAGGTGGCAATGAGAAAAGAAATTACAAGATAGGATGAAAACAACTATAAATAGGATGGTAACTTAAGTCTGAAATAAATCTGCAATTATATTAAACTTAATTGAATTGAGAGTTCCAGCTAAAGGTTAAAGACTCTCCTGGTGGATTAGATAGGACAATTAGGTCTTACCTATTTGAAAGGGATATTATAAGCAAATGTGAACTAAAGAAAGGTGTGCCCATAACATTACAAAAAAATGATCTTAAGATTTTGGGCATTTGTGGGTGGATGTACAAACCATCCCTAGAATGTGAGAAACAATGCAAATTCATAGAGAAGACAGAGCAATTGCCAACTTGTATTTACTTTCACCTCTTAATAAAAAGTTGACAGAATTACAGGGAGAAGTGCAGAAGAGTTGCTCTTTTATTGTGATATTTTTATTAGACCAATTTCAGCAGTTGGTAGAGCAAGCAATCCCAAAAGTTTGTAAGATCTGGAAAGATCCAAATGCCATAATTCTTATGTTTGATCAAAGACATACGTGTATGGATATAAGCTCATGCACATTTACACTTATAATGACCTTGTGATTGCATATTCTGCGCAATCATTCGAGGAGCAGTGGAAAAGCTAACCAAGGGGCCACAAAGCAATTCTCAAATTTCAAAGAATTGTTGGTAGAGTGCCCCCATTTTCTGGCTGCAGTGTGAGCTAGCAATCAGTAACCAAAGATTAACTTACAGAAACTTCTGTGTTTCAAACTAGAAAATATTCCAAAAATCTCATAGGTAAAGAAAAGAATTATCATTAAAAAAATTAACTTTTAGCACAAAAAAACTACTACTACAAATAAAGCAAGAATAAATAAAAATCTGTTGTATTTGGAAAGAGAGATGAAGAGCTCTAAAATAAATTTAGGCATAGATGAGAGTATGTCTTATAAACAATATAAGTCAGGGTCTTTTATACATTATCTCTGGTCCTGAGATAATGAGCTTTCCACATGGGAAAATGAAGATGAATTTAAAAAACATAAAAAATATAAATACATATATTCATACATATCAGGCAAATAAAATATCTACACTTGTGTAGATCTATATTCATAGATCTGTCAAATTAAACAATCATATGTGTACAAAATACAAATGTGAAAACTTTTATTAAAAAATTGCCAAGTGCATTTCCTTAATGGTTGAGAAAAGTTATCTCAGACCTCTCCCCACAAATCCCAACACAAAGAAAGATTGGCTGTTGTTTCCAACAAAGGATTTGTATCTTGCACAATGTTTTCCAACAAAAATTTCTGCAGTGATGGAAACATTTAGGGCTATTATATGTCATATTAAAAAATTTACCATAATAAAAAATAATAGCCCATGCCACAGGTGGCTATTATGCAGCGGGAATACAGCCATAGAGTCAAGAACTCAAATTGCTTAATAGGATATGTTAGCATTTAAAAATTCTTGGTGATGATCCAGGCAGTTGTTGCTCTTTAAAATATACTTCTTCAGAATTTAATTTTTTCATCTAAAGTTTTATTTACCTTTAATTATGATAAATCTAATTCTGATTATGTTGGAATAAAATTAACTTTTGTGAAAGTTAATGATTTTATCTAAATGACTTAAATTTTCCTTTAAATATTTTAAGTAGTACAATTAAGAGTCAAAAAAACTTAATGAATACTGATGTGTTCACCATAGAATCTGTGAAATAAGACATTTTTGATATTGATTCAATTCCTAGGTGACTAATCCTATGCACAAATTTTCTTTTTTTATTTTTCTTCTTAAAGAGCTGTTGGAAAAATCTGATCAACAGATAAGAGTACTTGGCTCTTTGGGTCAGAACATCATTTAGCGATGTCTGTATCTTCATCTAGCATACATATACGTGCATCTATTTAAATTTAACACACAAACTTTGTATCATTTAACAAATTTGTAAAGCAAATACCCAATAACTTGATCAGGAGAAAAAGTATCCTCAGCACCTCAAAACCCTTAGGGTAACCCTTAACAACCAGCACAAAGGTCATCACTGAAGAATTTAATGGCTTTTAAGGCCATTTTACAAATTTTCTTTACTACTTATAGCGCCTATGTTATGCACTCTTGTATCAGATTGGCTTTATTTCATCAGGTTCTAAATTTCACATAGAAGATATTTTCTGGAATTCTTTGGCAATTCGCCTTCCCTCCCCCCAAGATAAGAAATAAATTTGCATGAGCCCCCCGTGCCCCGCTGCAAACCACTCTCTTTACCAGCGTTCAAGGTGGGTTCCGTTTTCTGAGTGGTGCATCTAGAGCGGGACGCGAGGAAGGCGCACAGCTTTGGACGCTTACAAACCCCACTTACCGCACAGCGCCGTGGCCACGTCTGCGCGCGCCTTTCTGCACACTGATCTAGGGCAGCGCTTTCAAACTTTTTGGACCAATGACTCATACCGAGGAATGACGTTTTACATCATGACACACATCTGTGTGCGTGTGTTTGTGTGTGCATAAAATCGAGGAGTGGGGGGTGGGTGGGCTTGGGTGGGGGGGAAGAAAAGACATTTCATGAAGCACCCCTTGGTCCCTGAGAACCCATTCTGATGTTTCCTTAGTCTCCGAGTGCGTGTTTTACAAGTTGTGTTCCTTCTCCACTCTGCAGGCTCCCACCGCCCACGGAAACGGGCTTTGGACTTAGAAAACATCACTCAAGAGGATTCAGAGTGAGGAGGAGGAGGAGGACCGGGAGCTGCCAGCGCGCGCGCAACACTGGCCTCCGACGGTGGCAACTCCCACGGTCTCAACTTCCCAATCAGTGTCAATACCTCGGATGGGACTGTACCACGCCACACTTTGCAGAGCCAAACACCAGGCGCCGGCACAGCGCTTTATCTTTTCCTTCGGTCGTTAACCTGTGTTAATCACTTACCGTGCGCCGCCAGCGGGTCCGCGGGGCTCAGAGTGAGACCGTTGAGCAGGGGTACGGGGTAGGAATGGGATGGGAGGGGTCAGGGCGACAGGGATAGGGACCTGGTGAAACCCCAGGGAGCATTCAGCCTCAGCCTGGGGAGGGAGGGGTTAGGGAAGGATTCCTGGAAGAAGGACCTAAGCTGCAGGTGGCTATTTTTAAATTTTATTGGTTTCCTAAAACATAAAAGTCACACACAGGTCGAGAATAAAAAGTCAGGATTACGGGCGTAGATGATTTATTGAGCAGAGTCCCCGCCGCCGTCCGTCCGTTCCTGCAACTTCGCTGCCACGGAGCCTCAAAACCAAAGTTGCATTATCAGTTATCCTAATCGAGGACATTTTTCGGTGCCCGCATCCTAAAACAGTTTTTTTTTAATTATTATTATTATTTCGCAGTCGAGCTAGCAGAGTCCCTAATAGTACAGTGTAAAATAGACCACATTTTCCAGAATAAGGACAATTGCAAAGAAAAAAAACCAACACATATACACACACACAGCATGTCACGATTAACAACAGCATTACTTTCAAGACTTTTTTCTTTCTTTCTTTCTTTTTTTTCGGCGAGATCCCAACAGTGCTAGGTTCCCAACGGCCCGAATTCGTGGACCGCATACCAAAATCGCCACTAACGCTTCTCCCCCCCACCACCCCCAAGTGGCGTTCCCGAGTGACCCGTGCCCGAAAGCGAGGTGGGATGATAGGGGTTTGGTGCTACCCCGGCTGATGGTGCGACGCTGTGTTGGACTTTCCCCCCGGCCCCGCTCGGACCCGGGCCACCCAGCACGTATACCCCGCGCGCCCGCAGCGGCGCATCCTCCCCACGGCTCGGAGCGGGCACGGCGCGCCCACGCCGCGCAGCAGCCCGCCACCCTCACCGCATCCCCGGCCGGCTGCCCGATGCCCACCACCACCTACCCTGCGGGCGCGGAAGACCCCCGGAATCAGGCGCGGCGGCTGGGGTGGGGGGGTGGCGCCGCGTCCGAGGCCAGGCCGGCAACCCGGGGAAGCGCCCGGTGCTCCGGTGCTCGGAGGCCCGCGGTCCACTGGGCAGCCAGGAGAGCCGCCCCGTCTGTCCAGCGGCGCGTCCTCCTGCAGAGTGAGGCCGGAGTCTGCCCCAGACGTGCTTAAATGAGGGCTCGGGGCGGTGCCGACGGGCTGAATGACAAATGGCAGATGCCGTGGGCTTTGCGCGGGGATGGCTGCGCCAAGGAGGCCGCGCGCGGGCGGGGCCCAGGAGCTGGAACGGCGCGTCCGAGAGGAGGGCGCGGGGCCCCTGGCGGGGGCGTCACGTGGCAGAAGGAGGCCCCGCTGGGGAGCCGAGGGGCGGTGAGGGGGGGGTCGACCCCGGGCGGAGGAAGAAGACAGACGCCTGGCCGATTGAGTCATCCGTGGGGGGCTCAGCCAAGGTCGCCCAGGTGCAGAGCTGGCACAGGTAGCCCCGACCCTCACTCTACCCCCCCCACCACCCACCCTTGCAGCCCCCCTCAATCCCCCCACCGAGAGCTGGTTGGAGCCTGAAGTCACCAGCAGATGCACCGCCCCAAGCTCCAGCTTAACTGAGAGAAACACGAGAAACACACAACCGATGCTAGGAGACTGACATAGGCCAAACTTCTTTATCTACGCTCAGCTCAGCGCAGGGGAGAAATCCATCCAGGCAGCCCGAATTGGAGACCATTCAGGGCGAGCCGACCCTGCAGCTTGGGACCCTCGCCTCCCACCCCCAACCCACCCCCACCCGGGCTTGAGAATAAGTACGTGTGTCCTGCAGCTGACAAGACCAAGGCACAGATTTGGTGGAAGTCATCTTGTTGGAAATCATCATACAGTTATAGAATCCTACACATTGTATGCTTCAAGTAATGTATTTTTTTTAAGCGGGGGTGGGGGTGGGGAGGAATATAAACATTATCTGGATTTAAGAAAAAAAATACTGAAGCCCATCACTAATGATTATGGTTTTGTTTCCCCGCTCCCTTCCCCCCCTCCCCCCCCAAGATACACATTCCTGAAAGAGGTCTATATACATTAAGAAAGGAAGGAAAAAGACTAAGGGACTTGTAAGGAATTGACTGCGTATATCTCAGCCTTGGAGCTCTGAAAGACGAAGTTGTTAGCGTTTTTACACTCCCACCCACTTCACGGAAAACTCCCAATTTCCATTGCTTATGTTACTTTTGGCTTACTAGCGCTCAGAACATTTACAATTGCTCTTCACTCCTATTCTCCCAGATGTTCAGTCTTAATTCTCGATTGAAATGAATTCGAAGTTCATCATAGTGTATCCTTCCCCAACTTCTTTATTTTTTGTTAGTTTCCTGGTATACTGCTGGGTCTTCATGCTCTCCCCTGCCTTACCCCCCTCCCACACCCCTCAGTTTTCTGAAGAAGGACTTATAGAAAAGCTTAATGTTTTCTTGGCTTTTCAGTCTATACATATTTTATTTTCCTTACTGGGCAGGGTAAATATTTTGAATTCACACCTTCCTTCAAAAACTAATAGAACAAGAAGCCGTTGATTCTGGACCTCACTGATTTCTTTGGAGAGGACTGAACTCTGTGTGTGTGTGTGTGTGTGTGTGCGCGCGCGCGCGCTTCCCCTGGGAGGCGATTTGCCTTTTCTGTCTGGACATTTGAAGACACTGAAGCACTCTGTATATGCTTATCTGAGCTGTGCCATAGAGAGAGTCATTCTGTATGAGACCCCACCCTCCAGGCACTAGATAGTGATGGTATTTCAAAGTATAGATTCATAATCTTGTTTTCTTGGCATAATGCCCCCATTCATATATTTCTGAGTAACTTTGCCTTACCTTGGTTGAATTTTTTATTTCATACTCATCAGTCCTTAGATTTTTTTTTCATCTTTGCCTTGCACATACATCTTTTGCTTTGTACTCACTCCAAGTCTTTTGAAATAGTTTATTCATTGCTTTTTCTACTTTATTGGATTTTTCAATCATGTTCAGACTCAGTTTTCTTAGGTACAAGGTTTTCCTTTCCTTCATGTCCTCCTCTTTTACTGTCTTTGCACTGTTTTGAGGAATCTCTAGTCTTAATTTTTTTTCCATAGCCTAAAGCATATGCAAGGAATGTAAATATCTGTTTCTTGGTTGTATTTTCTTCCAAACTTAGTTCTTTGGCTATCTTCCACATGCAATTTCCTTGTTTCTCACTCCTTTCTTCCATGCAATAGTATGAGTATAGTTGCCTAATAAAAAAATGTCCTATCTTGCTTATCCTTAAAAGTCAGAAACACGGAATGCTGGATGTGAATTACTGTTTCCTCTTCACATGAGGAGAATCTGTCTTCCCTATTCCAAGCTTTAGTTTTAGAGTTGAGTTTTGTTCCTTTCTCTTTCCTTGTGTGTATGCTGGAGAGGAAGGGGGGCATTTGACACACTTGGCAATGCCTAGTAGCTATTACTGCAGTTCTCAGACAGACAGAAGGTGGGTCAGGTATCAAACCCAGGGCTCCTACATTCGAAGCACATTCCCCAGCCGTTAAGCCATTAAGTCCAGAATGTAGTTTCTATTTTTCTGTGACTTGAGGGTTTTGGCATGAAGAGGGGTTTGTAGAACTCAATTTGAGATTGAGTTGAGTAATCTCACTTCTGTCTCCTTTTGAGTCCTTCGCACATTACCTTCAAGCCAGCCAAGAGAGTATCTCATGGCCTCTGCTTTTCAGGGAATTCCCTAAAAGATGGCACACTTTTTGACTTCTGGTAAGATCCAATAGAGGGATATGAAGCTTCCTTGAATTGTCTTAAGGATACAGCTCACTTCTTTCCCAACTTTTGAGAAATCTCTGAATTAGACTGACTGTGATTTGTCTCAGTATGCCATGTCTTCTGCCAGAGTGGGATGAAATGCGGTTAGGGACCACACCAACATCAGCAGAATCTCTGCTATCTTTGCTTTGTCTCCTACCTTGTCTTCCATTTTACATAAAATGGTTAGGTTTCTTTCTTTGGCTACAACAGTTTTTGTTTGTTTATTCCTTTTCTTCCTTCCTTCCTTCCTTCCTTCCTTCCTTCCTTCCTTCCTTCCTTCCTTCCCTTTCCTTTCCTTTCCTTTCCTTTCTTTTTGGTTCTGCACGCTCATGGATCAGTAAGGGTAGGAGCCTAGGGGACCTTATGTAAAGCCAAGGATTTGGACCTGGGTTGGTTGCCTGCAAAGCAAGTGCCCTATCCATTTTACTATCTCCTTGCCACTTAAAGAATCCTTTGTTCATTTTTTGGGGGGAGTGGCTTAGAGGGGCTCCAGGATGACTCCTGATAATGCCCAAGGAGCCACCTGCTGTGCTGGAGATCAAACCAGGGTCTGTCAAGTGCAAGGGTCTTAACCCATGTACCATCTCTTCAGCTCCTTGTGCCCTTTGTTGTTGGGTTTGAAGCCATACCCTGCACAAGGGGGATTCCTGACTCAGAAATGCTCTCTCCTAGTGTTGATGGACTATAGACAGTGCTTGGGATTCAAACTGGTCCCCTTTGGGCAACTTGGTAACAAGACACCCTTTCTTACCCTAAGAAAACTTCAGGACAGACTTCAAGGACAAACTTCAGGACAAACTGAAGAAAACTTCAGTTCCCTCAGGACATACACTTTAGCATTACAATATGCCATTATAATAGGCTCTAGAGTGGGGAGGGATTAGGGGTGGGGGAAGATTTGGGCCACACCCAGTGGTGTTTAAGGATTACTCCTGGCTCAGAGCTCAGGTATCACTCCTGTTGGCCTAGGGGACCACAAGGAGTGCTAGGCTTGAACCTAGGTCAACCATTAGCAAAGCAAGTGCTTTAGCCTCTCATTAGCACCGGAGCTGCAATTTTTGGAGAAATTTAGAGCTTTAAGAAGTGAGGAATAGGATGTGGCAATGTGGAAAGAACATTCTTTGCATGAGGGACATATGTGGCACAGCTCAGGCTGTCATATTCGTGCTGGCACTCAGGGCAACGTGGCTGGATACATATAGGTTTCAGTACACGTGTGATATCTGTTGTTTCGATCAAACTTTCCTAATTTTGGTACCAGAATGGAAGCCACGTGAAGTATTTCCCCAGGACCAACCCTGTTGTGTAGCCCTTGTTGTAGAAAAACACTCAGAATCAATTCTGTTTTTTCTTTTTTTCTTTTCTTAACATCCTAAAATGCAACTCTGTTCTACACTGCACTCTTCAAAGCCTTCTTAAAACTTCCTGAGCAAAGGTAAAACAATAAATCAGTAAATGAATAAACAAAAGACTCATGCAGACACAGTTATCATTTGTAATATGTCAGGATGGAAAATTTCATAAAAAGGTGTTACTAAAGGTAACAGCTAGATAGGAGCTAAAACTAAATAACATGGGAGCAATCTATATACACAGTGGTCACATTGATAAAATAGTAGGGGAAAAAAGGTCTGAATTGATGCAGAAAAGGCATTTTATAAAATTTAACACCTAATGTGTGTGGGGTGATGGTGACAAGAACTGGAGAAAGAAGGGAACTTTTCCAACCTGGTAATGGGTGTACTTGTGGTCTACTATCGCTGTAACAAATTCTCACAAAGTTGAGGTTAAAACAAGAAATGTTTTCTCTGCTGTCCAAGAGGCCAAAAGTCTGAAATTGAGGCATTTAGAAGGACTTCACTCCCTCTAGTGGCCCCACGGAGAACTCTTCCTGACCTTCTGCTGTTTTCAGTGGCTGTTGGTTTTCTTCGACTTCCTCGGATTCCTTGGCTTCTGGCCACATCCCTTCAATCTCTGCCTCTATTCATTTTCACCCTACCTTCTCCTCTGTGTGATTTCCCCCCCGCCCCGTGTCTATCTCATAAGGATGCTTGTCTTTGAATATAAGACACACCTGAATAACTCGGGAGATTCCTGTATCAAGATTATTAATAATTACTCCTTTGTCGGGAAGAGAAGGAAAGGACAACTGAGTGAAGGGGAGAAGAGATAGAGGAGAAGCAGAAAGGGTAAGAATCAAGGGTG